TAGCAGATACTGATCTAGCATCAGAGAGGCTACAACAGGATCTTGATTTAATTAGCGACTGGGCTGATACCTGGCAGATAAAATTTAATGTGGACAAATCTAAGGTAATCCATGTAGGGAGCAGAAATATAAAGTACAGAATTTTTTTGGGTTCCACTGAAATGAAGGTAGCTGTGAGAAAGATCTCAGTGTGTATGTTGATGCTTCCATGTCCCACTCTCGCCAGTGTGGGGAAGCAATAAAAAAGGCCAATAGGATGTTGGGTTATATCTCTAGGTGTATGGAGTTTAAGTCAAGAGAGGTGAAGCTAAGATTATATAATTCCTTGGTTAGACCCCATCTGGAATATTGTGTGCAGGTTTGGACACCATACCTTAAAAAGGACATTGCTGCCTTATAAAAGGTTCAACGTAGGGCTAAAGAATGAGTCCTCTTCTTAGAGGAATGTCTTATGAGGAGAGGTTAGCTGAGCAAAGGAGACTTAGAGTGGACATGATCCAGGTATAAAAGATTCTAGCAGGTCTGGATGCTGTTCAGCCAAATAGTTACTTCAAAATCAGTTTAAATATTAGAACTCATGGCCATAGGTTGGAAATTAGCGGGAGAGCATTTTTAAATTGAATTTGAGAAAGCACTTCTTTACACAGCGTGGTTAGATTATGGAATAGTCTTCCTTTTAGTTTAGTGCAAGCTAAAACCTTGGGTTCCTTTAAATCAGAGCTAGATAAGATTTTAACAATTCTGAGCTATTAGTTGAGTTCTTCCCAAATGAGCTTGATGGGCCGAATGTTTGTAAATTTCTTATATTCTTAAAATATGCAGATGCACACTCACAATTCTTGAATTAAAGTGCAAGAAAAAGTATAATTGTGCATGATACTCCACCTCATATTTCACTTGAATGTGGCGACTGTCCAGAGAGAGCAGGAGTAGGTCTTCTGGAAAGAGCAGCAGCAAGCGTTCTTGGGGCTCCTGAAATATGCATGTGCGTCCTCACAATTATTCAAATGAATTGTTAACATACCTGTACATTGAAGTCGTAGACTAAGTGCAGTTACACATTAAAATATTTACACCAGGGGCACATACAGAATTCTCATTCATGCATGCAGATTTTAACACCAGAGATGTGCTAGTTGAAGTGGTTCATGGTTATGGATCGGAAAAAATATTTTAATGATATTTTGGTAATTTGCGGACTTATCAGTAAATAAAATTTAAACATACAAAGCGGGTCAGGCATCGTTTTGTCTTAATTAATATTAGTGTTCAAGTAAGGACAGGTTGAATTAGAAACTGGCTTTCTTTCTAATTATACACTCACCTAAAGGATTATTAGGAACACCTGTTCAATTTCTCATTAATGCAATTATCTAATCAACCAATCACATGGCAGTTGCTTCAATG